CAAAATATGCTGATTTAACGAAATAAAATAGCTCATTACAATTGGGTCCTCGCTGATTCGGTAGCGTACCAATTCGGAGTCTCTAGGGTTTGATATTATACATTTGTTATAACATATTCAAGAAATGCACATGATCAGAAGGGTCAACGACAACGATTTTGAAAAATCAAGAACGAGGCGTATCTGTGTCTACTAGCTAAAGTTTGCATCAACTCTGATTGCGATGCTTCAATTATGAAATGGACCGCGAACTATGGGAATATGACATATAACGAACTATAACACCCCTATGTTAGTCATGGGAAATTATGTTTCCCCGTCCGATGGCAAACCCTTAATTATAGAAACATTTGTTCGTAATTACGTGAAAATTTTTCAAGGATATCATCGGTTACATGCCGATTAAATGGGCGCTAACATGCTTAATTACTCAATTAGATTACATGTATACATGCTCTATATGAATGAAGAATGTGCTATGCAGGAAAAGACCCGAATCCCCCCATCAATTTACAAATTGAAATTCACAATAAATAGGCTTTAATTTCCATTTCCCGATGGACTAAAAGACGAATCGAATCACCTTAAAATCTTGGGCCTAGTATACTGTGCCCAATACGAAATGATGGCATTTAATTCTTCTTTTGGTTACACATGCGAACGGTATTATTGAACAGAAGACACATATCAACTCACTTTCTTGATACTTCACTGATGATTCAAAAGCAAAGCTCTCGTCGCATGTGACCACTCACTAGTTGATGTGTAGACCAGTAGCTAGCTACATGCAACTACGTACACCTTTTAGATTGAGTACGCGCTTAATATAAACCACGTTTAAATCCAATGAAACGATGGATTTGATTACAGACCTGTTCTTAACGAAATGGTCCATTCAAAATTACCATGCATGGAACGTCGGCCTTTCGATGTCTATTTCAATTCCTATATGCACTTGGGGTGCGTCTGGGAACCACTTTCCCAAAGTCCCTTGGGTAAATATAAATACCGTTTGATAAATAATGGAAATGCCCTCACCTTACGTGACATCGTTGGCGAAGGACTCAGCCACTGGCGAGGCTGGCCGACGGCCTGAGTTTTGCCGGCAATAGCTATGTGTACTTTAGAAAATTGGAGAATGGGTCTTTAATTTATTTATTATTATATGTTGATGACACGCTAATAGCATGTAAGAATATGTTTGATATTGATGTGTTGAAAAGACAGTTAAGTGTTGAATTTGAGATTAAAGATATAGGTACTGGAAAGAAAATATTGGATATGAAGATTTTGTGTGATAGGAGTTTTACATCTATCTTGAAAGAAATATATTAAGAAGATCGTTGCACGTTTTAATATGCAGTAAGTGAAATCCATGAGTACATTTTTAGCAAAACACTTTAAACTCTTTAATAAGTTATCACCGTACACGAAGAAGGAGGAGGAGCATATGTCTCGTGTTCCCTATTATAGTGTAGTAGGTAGTATTAATTATGTATGCTATGGTATGCATCAGACCTGACATTTCACAAATTGTGAGCGTAGTTAGCCGTTACATAAAGTGTCCCAATAAAGTTCATTGGGAAGTTGTGTAATGGATCCTTAGATGTTTGAAGGGGACAACAAATGTTGGTTATAGTATACTGGAGGGACGGCAATGGTAGTGAAACCACTGGTTATGTGGATTTGGATCACGACGGTGACTTGAATGAGAGCATGTCTTTCGCCGGGTACATGTTTATGTTAGTAAGTGGTGCAGTGAGTTAGAAGGCATCCTTATAGGACCATGTTACCTTGTCTTCGTCCGAGGCAGACATGGCATAGACCTTTAAATCGAAGGAGGCAATATGGCTGAGGGGTTTTCCTCTCGGATTCTGGGTTAGAGGACAAAAAGTGTTGATATGCATCGTGATAACTAATGTATGATGTATCTGACATATAATTCAGTTTAATACAAGTGAATGAAGCATATCGACATTAGGTACCATTTCATCCGAGATGTTTTAGTGAAGGGTAAGATTATTGTGAAAAAGATCACTACAGCGAAGAACCCCGCAGACATGATGACTAAGCATCTTATATGGTGAAACTCAAGCTCCAGTTGAGCTCAATTGGCATTTGGCATCTATAGAGAGTGAGCACCCGTCGGGCCGTTAGGGGAGCTGGCATGAATAATGAGCATTACGACTTAACTTCAAATATCGAGCTAAGGTGAAGAATTGTTAAATTATGTTTCAAGTTTGAGCTTTTTACGGGACACAATCCGGTTGGATAAAAATTAAAATTTGACCGCATAAAGAAATTCAAAAAGGGCAACTTCTTTCACGATAAAAATAAGAGGAAAAAGAACTCTCTGGCACTACAAGACAGAAAAAGGGGCTCACACATATACTTATTTTTTGGGGTAAAAAGCAAGGATTTAGTTTTAAAAAAACGATTAAGTAACACTCCTTAATCAACTATGAAATTAACAATATGTTTTGGATTACCAAAAATTAATAATAAATTATTATAAATTATTATGGAATCTATTTAAAAATTTATGGTTCACAATATATTAATATCGTGGCTCAAAACTTGTTACGTTGACAAAGCCTTTGTTTTATTTTTTCTTTTGCCTAGAGTAGCCATTGGCAAATATAACGGAAAAAGAAGACTTTGTGGGTCCCTCCCTTTCTGAATAGCCGCGCAGGGAAGAGCAAGAGCCCCGCATAGTGAAGCTGTCGGTGTTAATCGGCCCGTGGTGATTTTCTTGAGAGAAGATACAAAGAACTTTAACGGAAGTGTTCTTTGATCAGCCGTACGGAGACATTCAGACACGGGTGAATTTGTGCTGTGAGTTTTATTTCAAATTGAGCTGTTTCATTTATAAATACTTTGGGTTTAAGCTTCATTTAAATATAGGAAATACTCGAGCGTGTGAGCATTGTATAGTAGATTATTTACTGCTCGTATAGGTACCGACACTCGGACCGAACCGCGTAAATTTTTTGTGTCCTTTGTTGTTTCTCGTCTATTTCTCTGGTGATTTCGCATTGATTCGATTGCAAGATCCTATCAGTTTCCGCATTAATTTTACACCACTATAGTTGATTGCATTCTTCTTTTTTTTCTTTCATGTCAAACTATTTGTCCACTTTTACTTTCTTGCACAACACGCGCGCACATTCATAGATACACATATTTCTTTGAGACTAATACTTTCATATTCAAACATATTTCGAATATGAAGTTTGGCCCTTTCAGAATGATGCATCTCATACCACAAGGATCTTTTGTGAACTGAAATGCGACGTTGATCACTTTAAAAGATCAAGCTCTAAAAATGATAGACATCATATTTCATCTCGTGTAAAAGACGATATAATATATGAAAGTTCATATGTGCACGTGCAAACAGGACATGTGCAAACAAACGGTTGGTAATTATAATATATAAAAAATGTATAGTTAAAGTCAGAGTTGAGAGTATGTTAATTTGCTCCCGAATGAAAAAGAAAAAAAAAAAGCCCACTAAAATCTCTTCCTCGAAAAAGCTGCGTCACTTTCAATGAGCTTGATATTGTTTAAATAAGCAATGCATGTACTTTGATTTTCCTTTTGGGCAGTTGGCTAAGTCAAATAGTTGACTATCCACATTGGACAGTTAGGTCCCATCTTCCTCCCCTTCTTGGTTGTTTCGGTAGCGATACTGATGTGCACTCCAAATTACCACCGGACTTTGAACTTCGGATGGCTTTGCAAAAACGGAAATACAGTATCACTAAAAAGAAAACGCGCAACTCATGTTAACTCATCCTCCGTACTTTGATTTTCCTGCATTCTCATGTTACGTGGGGATCAATGTTTTCTTTTTCTAGGATTTTGGTCACGTGAAGACGAGGATGTTGTCAGGCTACTTTGTACTATTCTGACCAGCATCGTTGAATTGTCCCATTTCTGTGATAACTGGGGCAAGCATGTCCTGTCCCACGCCAAGTTTACCGAATGGAGGAGGAGATCAATTACAGTTAGTTCATGTGTAAGCTCACGAGCCAACTTTGGACCTTACAAGGGAAAGTTAGTTGAACCAAATAGACCGAGCTTGACAGTAATTTTGATTCTATAGGCCGCATTGGCTTCGTCACAAGCCATGCATTTCGTCGTTGTCCATAGTTACTTACGGAAAGAAAGCAAGTTATGTTAGGAAAATTTCCATCTTTAATGCTTTTTTCGGGTTGGTTTCCTATCGAGTCGAGGCTGAGTGTCGAAAGCCCGAGTAAAAGTTCTTCCATTTGCTTTTTTTTCAAAGGGTTAGAAATGTTTAATTCGTTGTGATTCACTTTTCGCAACGTAGATCAACTAAAACCGAAAAAAATAAGGGAGCAATTACCCCTTAAACCCCATGACAATGGTGGACATGAGATGGTGAGATCACTCTAGGTTTGACTCAATGGGAAGTGCAAAGCTTGTCTGCAAATCTGCACGTGGGCTCTTCTTGCCAACTTCGTCCCCTTATAGCTGAATGCTAGTGAGATTGATAATGATGGCATTACAGGCAGCTAATCGAAGAACCATCTATGCATGGATCGTGAAAAATGAGGCCAGAAAGGGGGATTGATTAACTTAATGGAGCAGCCAACAAAGATCTCTTGACCTGCGTTCCATTGGCCCATGATTAGAAATATAATATTACTTCATACATGGGAGCATCGACGAAACCAAAAGTGTCTGATTTTTCTATGAGCACGAGAACGTGGAGTCATCATGACCAATCCATCTTTCATTCCCCTCGATGTTACCCCACATGCGGTAAGCCAATGACCCAACGGAGATTCACCCCAACGTCATTTCAACTGCGGGGGAGTGTGTAGCTGTTTCCACGCTGAGGGGTCCAAGAAAAAGCAAGACAGAGCCTCATAAAAGACAGAGACGAGAGAGAGAGAGAGAGAGAGAGAGAGAGAGAGAGAGAGAGAGAGAGAGAGAGAGAGTAGATTTTCCTATAAATGAAGATTTTTCATCGCGGGGACACTGCAAGCCTCCAAGACAACCGACCTCTGCATTGTACTTTGTTCAAATAGAGCGCGTCTTTTGTAGGGGCTGGAGTAAATGGGGAAGAGTAAGGAGGACAACCTTTGCATGCAGGGCCGGTGCTTGATATTTGGTCTTCTCGTTCTGGTTCTTTTCGCGGCCAGCGCGTCGTCTCGCGACATCATCAAGAACCTCCCGGGCTACGATGGCGAGCTTCCCTTCACGCTGGAAACAGGGTATCTGTCAAGTCTTGGGCTTCCTTCTTATATTGTTTTTTTTTTCCTTCTCATTGGATTGCAATCAAGAAAAGATAAGTTTTCTCATGAGTAAATTAATGGACGAATGCGAAATGGGAATGGCAGATACATAGGAGTGGGAGAGACAGAGGACGTGCAGCTGTTCTACTACTTCGTGGAGTCTCAGAGATCGCCGTCGATTGACCCTGTCTTGCTCTGGCTCACTGGCGGTCCTGGCTGTTCCACCCTCTTGGCTTTCTTCTACGAGAGCGGTTGGTTTTCTTTCTCTTTTCTGCATATGTTTGTTCATTGACATGTTAGCTTAGTTGTTTGAGATATAATGCGAGTGCATTGCACATTATTCAATGGTGTTTTCACAAATAGACCCACTCCTAGTCGCGGCGGATTTAGGAGGAGATGTGAGATGATCGAAGGTGCGCCGCTGTCCTCACGGCGTTTCTCCGGAACTTCCAAAATATTAAATCTTCTTTTCTCTTTCTTTAAAGACAAAAGTCCAGTTAAATAAGTTTGTTGGCGGCATAATGAATGTAGGTGAGCCAAGCTCTCATTCCTAGATCCCACCTAAAATAGTAGTTGAATCTGTTTAAGCTTAATGGCAATTGTCAACTTTATTATCTCTTTGTCCTAGTTAAGCGACAAAGAAGAAGCTACCAAACTACACTCCTGCTGGTCATAAAATCATGAAGTTGAATATGTGATTTTATTGAACAGAGAGAGAGAGAGAGAGAGAGAGAGAGAGAGAGAGAGAGATCTGCATATACAATAAATACACCTTCAATGACATGCTCAAGATAGATTTAACATTTTTTTAATGTTTCTCCTCAGTTAAAAGAGTAGGAGCGCTGTACATCATATGACAGTACTCATAACAAGGAGATTGATTGCTGTTCCAAGATTTACGGGTCGAAGATGCTCTGACCTGTGATACGGTCAACTTTAGCTTCTTCTTGACTGCAATCACAGTCTTGGCATTGTTTCTTATGACAAGCAATTCCTAATGTTAGACCTTAACTTGCTCTATAAATGCAGAGGCATTGTGGAACGAATTATTCGGACCATCATCTCATCTTCTCATGATTTGTGCAGGTCCATTAAGTTTTACATATGCAGGATACAATGGGAGCTTGCCGTCCCTTACATTGAATCCCTATACATGGACAAAGGTCCCCTACCACCTTCATCTTCTTCCTTTGCAATGTTCTCCAATATTGTTCTCCAACAATGTGGTGACACACTTTATTTTTTTTTCCTCAGGCCCTCAATATAATCTATCTAGATCAACCAGTAGGCACTGGATTCTCTTACTCAACAAGCCAAGAAGGTTATGACACTGGCGACGTAAAATCCGCAGCCTTAACTTATGAGTTCATAAGAAAGGTTAGCGTCTATTAATCTACTACTGTTTGTCATTCTATTAATTTATCTTTTGATGAATAAGAAAATTTCTTCCCGAGTCTTTTGTGCCATGAGCCAAACAAGAGTGATAGTCAATGTATCTAGTCCTGATATATAGAAGGGATTGTTATGAGTGATCTCCTGTTTAAATCAGCAGCTCCTATGATGACATGCATGTGGGTTTATCTTGATTATGTTTAGTTTAGAAATGGTATGACTTCGAAAGAAGCTCTCTACTAGGTGTAAGGAATACCTCTAATATTTTTCCCTTCTTTTGGAATGAGTGCAGTGGATGTTGAGTCATCCCGAGTTCAAGTCAAACCAACTGTACGTCGGTGGAGATTCTTACTCGGGGGTAACTGTTCCCTTAGTCGTCCAAGCAATCATGGATAGTATGTTCTAATTCTGCAAATGGCATTGTCAACTCAAAGCTATTTTGCTCTTTTAAATTTACTATGAATGAATTGTGAAAGTCTTCATGCTCGAAGGTGTCTAAGAGCTTCTTCTATTCTTCATTTTCAATTCTTCAGGTAATCAAGATATGGTATATCCACAAATGAACCTCAAGGTACGAGATTGGACTTGCTGTTATGAATTGAGCTACTTGGTTACCCCTTGCTAAAGCTGGAAAAATTTGCTTCCATTTTAGTCGCCTGTATAATGTTTCTGCTGTTTCGTTTATTGTCAATTGTTTAACAACAGCAGAGCAACAGGGTTATGTCTTGAAATTATCTTTATCTTATTCTTTCAGGGTTATGTGCTCGGGAATCCTAAGACGGATACTTTTATTGATGATAACTCCAGGTTATCATTTGCAAACAGGCTGACCCTTATTCCTGATGAGCTCTTTCTGGTGAGTTGATGGATTGTTATCTCTGCATTTTTCAGCTGAAAAGTTAAGACTGTCACATAATTTATCGCCAGGAACTTTACAGTGAGACCTACCAGCTATCTATCTGCTTTATTTTCTGGAAAAAATTGGCTGTTGAAGTAAGTAGGGGGAAACTGAAGTAATATTCATCACACATTTTCCTCTAGATACCGTTCTCTGTCCAGGATTTTCACTATTGTTGCTCCAAACAGAGGACGCACTCTTTAGGACTCTGAGACTACATCAACTCATAAGCTTGCATAAACAATTAATTTCATCGATTTGAAGCTTATTAATGACTGAAATCTTGGATCTGCGTGTCTTTTGTACTACAAGACGGCCAATGAAACTTGCAATGGGGACTTTGTGACTGAACAAACAGACAATGAAAAATGCGAGGCAGCTATGCAAACCTTTGAAGATGTAAGTGAGACTCCTGCTCCAATTTGCTTGAAAAAACTGCCTTAGTCTCTGTAGTTTAAATTGTCGGCATGAACTTCTCTCTTATGCAGTTGATCCGTCAAATAAATTTGCAACAAGTTTTAGAACCAGCATGTACGATGACATCCCCAGAACCAAATGAAATGAATTGGGACAGGAGATCTTTAAGAGAACAGTCCCGAGAGCTTCTCCGTTTACATAATAAGGACACTGCATACTGGTGCAGGGTAATATTCTCTCTCTCTCTCTCTCTCTCTCTCTCTCTCTCTCTCTCTCTCTCTCTCTCTCTCTCTCTCATACACACACACACACACACACACACAACGAGTTCAATTCAAAGATCTAATTGATTTTGGTTCCCCCAGAATTATCGTCATGTGCTAAGTGGAGTTTGGGCAAACGATAAATCCGTGCAGGATGCTCTTCATATTCGACTGGTACGTAAATTTGTTACTGGAAATGAAAAATACTCTTTTTTAATTTTGACGAGAAACTGAGAGTTTCGGCAATCAAAAATAGGGAATGATAAATCTTTGGAAGATGTGCAACAGCAGTATATCTTACGACCAGGAATTCGATAGTGTTATTAGCTATCATCAGAACTTCTCTCAGAAGTCAGAGTTAAGAGCTTTGATATACAGGTAAATCCCAACTTTGCCTTTTGGAGCTTATTCCTTAATCAGACTAATGTTTGAAACTAATATCAAGTATGCAAGGTCAGGAATTCTGATTAAATGCCCATAGATTGGATATGAACTCAGTCCTGTGAAGCCTACTACTAACGGCTATATCAAGGCTATTGTCACATTAAAACAGTTCATTTATCAAGAGCTTAACAATTAAATTTCCATAAGCATCTTTGAGAATGATGTTTCTTTCCCCAACAGCGGCGACCATGACATGTCTATTCCCCACCTTGCAACTCGGCAATGGATCCAATCTCTCAATATGACTCTGTACGATTCATGGCGAGCATGGTACCTAAATGCACAAGTCGCGGGGTACGATTCACGATCTGCGAATGATTCATTCTTTCCATGCAGTCGTTGCTTCTTTTACTTTTCTCGCTTCGCATCTCAAAATTTTTTTTTTTTTGGGTGCATCAATAGTCATAATATTGTGTTTGATTGGTTCAGTTACACGGAAGAATACGAGAATAACGATTATACTCTCAACTTTGTGATTGTAAAGGCAAGATCATCTGAACCATATCATCACCTATTGTTCTCCAGAGATGCATCGGGGCAAGAAATAACATCGCACTGTTTTGGCTTTTACACAGGGCGGGGGACATATTGCCGCAGAGTACAAGCAGGAGGAATGCTATGCTATGATAGATAGATGGTTTGCTTATTATCCTCTCTAGACGGCCAATGGTTACACGAGGAACAGTAAAGAGTGCCTCATCAGGAGCCAATGCATCTATCATCCCATGAAATGTATCGTTTCACATTTCCAAATTCTGCGGCCGGATTACAAGAAGCGGTAGCATTGAGAGAAGTAGGCATATTGATTAAATCGAAAGAGTGCGTAGCGCGTATCATGAGGGTCTGAGCTATGTATGCATCCGAGAATTATTTCCATGTCACTTGATAGAGAGACGATTGAGCAAACCAGTTGTGAGAATGGATCTTAATTTTTTTTTATTTTGAAATTATTGAATAATAATAAATTGAGCATACATCCAACGCCGATCTTCTTCTTTCCTTTTATGCATGGACTGCTCCAATAAATGTATTGCACTATAGTGCGCAAAAGTATAAAATCCCACAGAAGTTCTTAATGGATGAACCTGAGAACTGTCAAGTATCAATAATCAAGAAAAGTTCTCTCTCTCTCTTTCACAATGGATTTGCCACTGATCTCAGACTCAGACCCAAGAATTACAGAACAAGTTTAAACTATGACATTGCTCGTCACTTGTCGCATGCTCGACCGCAGACAACATTGTCGCGAATGCGACTATAATGCGCAGCACAAGAAAAAACAACTCAGGATCTTTGATACCACGTGTGGTCAATGGATCATTCTAAAACCATTCACATCGTTTATAAAACTGATTACCTGGTGAAATGTCCCCTTGTTGGAAAGTTTGTTGGGGGGAAGGGTGGCTCTTCAGACAGACAGATGATCCGGTGGTTTACTGATAAGTAAATACCAAACAATCTAACGGTTGGGGGAGGCGGAAAATAGAGACTACATAGAGCTGCGAACAAACTTTTCTAACTTCTGGTCAAAGACTTCCTAACATTATCGGGAAGAGTAAGTCTCCAGGCATCTTCAAATTTTGAAAGCATGAAGAAAACGAGGGATGGGTCATCTGGGGTTTCAGCAAGATTGCAGAAGATGTATCCCTCGCACTGCGGATAACAAGCCAATTACAATTTGACAGTAGCTGTGCCTTACTAAAAATCTGTTTTTGAAGTGAAAAATTTACAAACCTTATAAGGGCGCGTTTGACTGTAAAAATCGTTTGGTTGTTTGGTTGTATATAACAGGGTTAATACCAAGAAGGACCTTAAACTGGTACATCCGTGATAAATTTACTCAAAATTAATTTTTTTATCACAAAAAAATCTTAAATTGGTACACCTATGACAAATTTACCTTCCGTTAATTTTTTTTGTCAAATTGCCGAGCTGGATGATACGTGGCAGATGACGCGTGTACCAATTTTGAGGTTTTATCCTCCGTTTGTCACGGGTGTATCGGTTCATTATTTTCTATAGTATTAATTTAATTTAACGAAAATTAACGGAAAGTAAATTTGTCACAAATATATCGATTTTGGATTTTTGGTGGTAAAAAATTACGTACGCTGGTTTGGAATTTTTCGTGAGATCAAACTTATATATAATAATGGTACCAATACTGCAAAACATACAGAAAGTACCCGCCGTATAGTGGCAGTGGCACTACTTGCTGACGGCTTAATTCAATTCTGCACGTGTTTCTCTCTTGCCCGGAAAATGATAGTCTTCTTTGAAATTCCCGCAGCTAACTTTCTCACCAGCAGTCTTGAGTACACCACCCACTTCTTCAGTTCTTCGTTCACCTTGCTGAGCGCTCCCATCTTCCTCTTCCCGCAGCATACAATGTATAAAAGATGAACACTTGTAGTGTCCTCGGGCCAATCCTTGTTCTTGTGTCCTCGCTCTCCCGTACGTCTTCTTCCCCTTCTGCACGAGCTCGGACCAGCATGGCCCCAGAGCGCGCGAAGTTGCGGGGTTCGTTGATTTGCTCGTGCTTCCTGCTTCTCCTGCTGGCTTACTCTCGCGTCGCCTCGTCGCAGAAGGTCGTCACCACGCTTCCTGGCTACGATGATGATCTGCCCTTCTATCTTGAAACTGGGTATGTCTCGCTTCTCGTTCTTGATGCAGAGAGAATTTTGAACTTTTCCCGTTCTTTTTTTCTCGTTCTTTGGTTCCAAGGGAAATGGATGTTGTTCTTGGTACCGAGCACATGGGGCAATGTCCAATGAGGATCGTGCCTCCTGTTTGTTTGAATTATTGTGTGGGGTCAAACATGTTGGGTTAATGGCGTCCGCAATGTGTGTTTGAAAATGACCGGTTTGTTTATTTTTGGTTTGTGTTTAATATGAATAGGTACATTGGTGTGGGGGAACTGGAGGAGTCACAGCTGTTTTACTACTTTGTGGAGTCACAGAGGTCCCCTGCGCTGGACCCAGTCATGCTTTGGCTCACTGGAGGCCCTGGTTGCTCTGTTCTCTCTGCTTTCTTCTATGAAAGCGGTACCATCTCTTTCACTTCTGACTTTGCCTGTTTTAGTGATTGCCCTTTTTAGGCATTTCTTACATAAATGGGAAGTTTTAAGTTTTACCATGAACTAGAAAATTTGGTAATGTAGCAGCAGTTCTTGTATCAAGAGTTATGTGAAGTTAGAAGGGTCCCAGATCCAGTGAGCCATTACTACAAGGGAAAGTGTGGCGATGTTATGCGTACCCCTGCATAAACGAAATAGTGAACACTGATATAATATCTCCCTGGTGAAGTTATGCATACCCCTGCATGAACAAATAAAAAGGGGCACTGATAAAAGTTTTCTGAACCAGGGAGACATAACTTATGGGATTCTGGTATATGGGGCTAGTTCTTTCAGTTAGATATCAGATGTTTCTTATATTAGGAAAACTAGTTTGTACCGTGTGGTGATGTCCTCCATGAATTGAAAAGCGAAAGAATTGAGGGGGCCTCAGATAAAACTAATGAAGGAATCGAGTAGGTATATGATCGTTCGTTTCACGATATCGGTACATAAGGTCCTTTTGTAAAGAAATCACTGGGAATGTCAGCGGACAAGGAAAGAATTAGTCGGGTATGCTGCATGGAGGAATAGTTTCTGTGTGAGTGGTTTCCGAACTGCAATTAGCAAACAAGAAAGTTGGGAAGCATGTCCTCTCTTCCTGTGCATGATAATTGGATTTCACACTTAACCTTGCATGCAGGTCCAGTGGAATTCACTTATGTTGGCTACAACGGGAGCTTGCCATCACTACATTTGAACCCTTATACTTGGACACAGGTGCTTGTTCTTGTCTTGTTCTAAATTACTGACATTTCACCAATTCCTGAGAGACGCATGATGTCATGATTTCACTTACAAGAACTTAATGTTGTCTAGGGCCTCAACATCATATACGTAGATGCGCCAATTGGCACGGGATTCTCTTACTCAACAACTGCAGAGAATTATTACATTGATGACTATAGATCTTCTGAAGAGATCTACCAGTTTCTGAGAAAGGTGTGTGAATGTGGGTGCAGGCCCAAAAAGAAACTTTTTTGGTTCAACAAAATCGAAATTGGAATTCATGGATGATGGGCGTTAATCTACGATGAAATTGCAACAGACGTCACAACAACATGATTTGAACGATGATTACTGAATCGTGTTTGCTATTTGTGTTGCTTTGCAGTGGTTGATAAAACATCCTCAGTTCTTAAAAAATATACTGTACATTGGTGGGGATTCTTACTCTGGCGTACCACTTCCGATGGTTGTTAAGAAAATATATGACGGTAAATATTATCTTTTGGCTGAATATGGTCGAATCTTTCACTTCAAAATATTGAGCTGTTATAACCATTCAACTTTGGCGAATTTAATTGTGGTGTGCACCTGCAGGTAATGGTGATGGTGTTGTGCCATACATGAATCTTAAAGTAACTATCTAATTTCACTAACTCGGCTTTAGTTTTTAATGGACAAGCACTGAGAAACAGCAATGTGTGGATTTCTTAACAGGGATATGTGCTTGGAAATCCAAAAACAGATGACTACGTCGACGACAATTCGAGAGTCACATTTGCCCACCGACTTACCCTCATATCAAGTGAATTGTACGAGGTATGCCTCTCATATTCTTCCTTTTAGATGAATGGAGATCTACCTAATTGGAGTAGATGGCCAGACAGTGCTTGATTAAGCAATGCACTGCCCCTACTTTTTGGTTCGACTCAGATGCTCCGTGTTTGTATACAACTAGCATTGGACACTAGAATCTTATCTGCATGCTTGTGTAAATTCTGGACCAAATTGAATATGGTACTGGGTTGTGGTTATGCTGAACCTGTTATACCTTCTGTTAAATAGGAAGCTACGGAAGCTTGTAATGGTGATTTTGTGAACGTAAATACAAGCAACACAGACTGTGTCACAGACGTTGGCGCCATCGATGTGGTTAGCAGGATAGCTCCTAATTAGTTCCATTAGACACTGTTTTGCTAGTTCTGTTCGTTGGCCATTAAGAATCTACTCTCTTTGTAGATGTTGGAAGAAATAAATCTAATGCATGTTCTGGAACCCACCTGCCAAGTTGCATATTCAAGACCGGTTAAATCAATCAGAGGAGAAAGAGTAGTGTTTGAAGAAAATTACGAAAATTTCCTAGCTACAGGAGCCAAGCCTGCACATTGGTGTAGGGTAAGTTACTCATATCTGTATATGCCCACCATGCACGCACGCACGCACAAACATTATATGCAACTACCTTGAATAACCTAACGTTAGAAAATTCACCTGGATATGGTTTTTCTAGGAATATAATTATGTTCTCTCTACCATATGGGCTAACGACAAGAGTGTCCGAGCTGCTCTTGGTGTTCGAGAGGTATGCAAATGCTGTGAACATGTTGATCGAGTACTTTAACATATCGATCTTTGGGGTAACAATGTTTGTGATGCTTAACAGGGGACCAAAGGTGTCTGGAACCGGTGCAATAGCAGTTTAGCCTATACAAAGACTGTCACTAGTACTGTAGGTTACCATAGAAATCTGAGTACTACAAACCTCAGAGCTCTTATATATAGGTAAGACTAAATTCGTTCATGGTCTTCCTATATAGATTTGTTTAATTACATTCCTGTTGCATATTTCACATTATTCAGATAGAGAGACTTTCTTTCATGAAAATTACTTGGAATTTTCTTATAACAACTAGCACATAGCTAAAGTAAATATGGACAATTTTCATCTGAACGAGTGGGATTAAGCCAGCTTTAGAGTGATTGAAGTAGCTTGTGGATTATATGGATTAGAAATTTTATCTCGTAACAAGGATTAACAATTCTAATCAGTGATTTTCTGCACACACAAAATCCCAAATATTTCCAACATCTTTTATGCCTTACGGATCTTCTCTTTTTCTCCAGTGGTGACCATGACTTGTCCGTTACGCACATTGGTACACAAAACTGGATCTATTCTCTCGGTCTGACTTTGTACGACGTTTGGAGGCCGTGGTTCGTCGATGGCCAAATTGCAGGGTAGGTCGAATAATCACCAAACTTAGAATCCTCTTTTCTCGCATTGTCGTTGCTTCCTCTGTTTCAAAATTTGATGTGCAATAATGAAACTTTCCAGTAGATAAAACCTCCACAATGCTTCATGCAGGTATACACAGGAGTTCATCAATGATGATTTCACTCTAGATTATGCCACCATAAAGGTGAGTAAAGTGAACATAGCTCGTGTTTAGTAGTACTGCATCACTAGAAACTTATGCAATTCCTGTGCTTATTAGTCATATATACCTTCTTTGCCGTGTTCAGGGCGCTGGCCATGTTGCTCCAGAGTACAAGCCTAAGGAATGCTACGAAATGATGGATCGCTGGCTTGCTTACTACCCTCTATGAAGATCGACAGTTAGAAGCTGCGACAACCTTCCGCACCATGATTTTTGTCCTAGACACTTATGAGGGCACACTCTATGTAGTTTTTAGGGGCGAATAATTTGCGAGATCACCCTGTTTTTCGTATGTTCTTCACTCCACGTGAAATATAAAAAAAATACATAAAGGGAGTGGTCGTTCGAAGTCACCTGCAAATTGCAGGATAAATCGCGTAATCTGCTAATCCTAATTATAATTCTACCGGCAAAATTACAATACAAAAGACGACGTGAAAGCCGAAGATGCTTCTATGATCAACGTTAGAAAGATGAACAGAAAAGACCCCCCATGGTGATCATGTTGTCGTAAATACGCGACATTGTTGAAGACAAAGGGGAAAAGGAATACTAGTGAATCAAAAGATGTCTAGAATCAAAGAAAAGTTTACCATAGAGAGAGCCAGATCGAAATTCACTGATAATCTGATGTGCTAGTTACAGAGTCTAAAATGTAATGTGCATACAATATATGTACTAATGACAAGGTTCTTATCAATACGCTTATGCTCTTGCCTTCGGTCGTCTTGATAGGTTCTTAATCCAATGTCTAAGCAAATGCTAACAACGCTAAGAAAATCGTTGACGAAGCTGGTGTCTTTAAGAAAGGATGGACATGCTGATATCGAAGAAATTTTTGGGAAAAAAAAGGCATTAGAACATAACTGACATAATGTAACGATTTTTGATGTAGCTAGCAAGGATCACCTAGAGGAGGGTGAATAGGTGATCTTAAACAATTTTTATAAATTTACGCGGAAATAAATGATCACAGTTGAGTTTGAATAAAATTCAGATTCTAAACAGTTTATATAGACAGTGCTCTTAATGTGCAGTGTGTAAAGTGAGAGATGAGGGAAAGAAAAACTGCACACAAGTTTATAGTGGTTCGGCTTATAGCAAGCCTACGTTCACTCTCCCACGCTTACAGCCTACCGGCTGGATTTCACTATGTAATCAAGAGGAATTACAACTTCTGAATGTTATCACTCTTGTGTATGATAAGACTCTCTATCTCACACAATCACTCTTACAAAGTGTTCCTCAAGATCTTAATGTTTGGCTTAGAAAGACAAGACAAATGATCAGAGTATGCTCAGACTTTGGACTTGATGATTCTTGATTCTCTTCTTCCTTCTGCTGCTCGTTGATCTCCTTAAATACTCCTCTACTTCCAAACTAGCCGTTGGACAGCTTTCAGAGGATCATCTTCCAATCTTCACGTTGGACAGATTTGTATAGAAAGGATTGAGTAGCCGTTGGATGATTGGTCTCGAATCCGCCGATTCCGATCGCCCATACAATCGAATCTTGGTTTCCATAAGTAAAGATTTGTCCGTTGTAATGCATTTTTGTCGTAATGTTTGATTGTCAATCAATTTGATTGAGATTGAGACAATCAGAACTTTCCTTCTGTGAAATCCATGTCAGATCACTAGCTGTTATGATACGTTCTGAATTCTCCTTCTGTGAAATCCATGTCAGATCACTAGCTGTTATGATACGTTCGAATTCGCATCGAAGAATTTCTCAACGTCTCGTCAGCTTCGAAAAATTTCAGCACGAAAATTTCAGCTCGCAGACTCGCTTCGAAAATTCCTCCGTCTGCATCTGAATAATTTCAGCATCCGAATAATTTCAGCGTCTGAGTCTCAGAACTTAGATTATGTGGGTCTTCAATAATGTATTTACCAGCTTGTAAAGTCTGAAAAACTTCTTTCTGAGCTTCCAGAATATACATACCTGGAATAAATTAGTTCGGAATAAGTATCAAATTTACAATAACATGGAAGGTTTTGTCAACTTCAAAATCAATAGGAGTTTTCCTCAACAATCTCCCCCTTTTTGATGATGACAAAACTTTCCTGCAGATTGAATTAATTTGAAATTGATTTGAAAGTAAATAAACATATTAAGCTCATGAAGCATAGATTGAAAGAGCAAACTCTGTTGATATCTGTGTCTTTTTCTTCCTTTGTATATAACCTGCAAATCTGCATATAATTTCTCCCCTTTTTGTCATCAGCAAAAATAATAATGATAGAGAGAATAAATCATTGATATTAATCAATCAAACAGTCTAACAAGAATTGTTAGAAATATTACAGACCAAATGAAAAATAGATGTTTTGAAGAGAAATGTTAAAAAATAGGCTATTTTTTAGAAGGGGTACGAATGAGTTGAAAATTGTCCAAAATAGAGACAGCCTTCTCAATCTTCGAACTGCATTGACCAATAACCTTATCCATGTTGGATGAGCACATGGCAATGGTTTCCTCAAGTTCTGCTTTATCTGCTGCTGCCTAAAGTCGCTGAGTCTTGTTGTTTTCCTCAACAATTCTCTGAAGATTCTTCATATCTTGTTCTAGAGCAGCTTGCTTTTCTTTAATCTCGAGCAGAATAGAGAGGATGTTCTGATTTTCAGATGGCTGACCTTGGACATTAGCTTCCTCAGACTGATTGTACCCTGTGGCTGATTCTGGTTGATTCTCCCCCTGAACAGGTGCTTGATCTTCAGAAACATGTTCTTCATGAATTGGTTCTGAAACTTTGAGAACTTGTTCAGGAACATGTTCTGGTTCTTCAGTGTGTCCTGTTTCAAAGTGCTCTACTTCTGCTTCATCACTTTTATCATGCAGAAGAATTTTTCTTTTCTTTCTATACACTTTGATTGGAGTAGGAGAGTCAGGTTGCTTGCTGGCTGAACTGGTTCTTTTCCTTTGCTCTTTTTCTTTCTCAATTTTCTTTCCAACAGATTTTGCCGCCGACTATTGAGCCTCTTTTCCTCTTACTCTTTCTTTTACATCATCAAACTGCTTCATTTTGGAGAGCATTTTTTCTCCAACAAACATGCAAGGTATAATGTTTTCGCGCAACTCATCAGGAATAGATATCCTTAAGAACATGAAGATTCTAGTGATAAGTGCACCATATGGAAGTTGACCCTTGTCTTTCTGTAATGCTCTGTATATATGGAATATGATGATGTGAGGGAGAGAGAAGGATTGACTTTTTATGATTGCCCAAATGAGCTTGATTTCTGATTTTGATAGGTCAGTTTTTGAGGCAGCTTTGGGCTTCAAACAGTTGATTATGATCTTATGCAAGATCACAGATCGTCTGGACAAGTCAGAGTAGGAAAGATGGCGCTTAGATTCTTGAGCAAAGTTTGGATTTTCAGAGGCCACCTTGGAAGCATCTTCTATGCTCACATCCAGTGGAGAGAAATTGGAATATTTTGCTCCAATAATCAATGCCAACTCCTTCGCTTTTAAATCAAACTTTTTGTCACCAACAGTGAATTGAATCCAGTTGGGTGACAAAATGGAAAGATTAGAGTAAAAGTATGCAGTGAGTTCAGCATAGACATGTGCAGATTGCAAACAAAATTCAAGAATGCCCAATTTTGCAAACAAGTGCTCTACTGAAATACCAGCCTTCTCTAGATAGTCGAAATCCACAGTCCTATTGTTCATGACCCCTCGAGCAAGTAACAACTAATAACAGACATTATGCTCAGTACTTCTGAACAATCCTCCTATCCCTGGCACACCAGATGCTATTCCCACCTTCATTTCAAAAATATCAAAAAATCAAGCATCATCATCAGGAACAACAAATTTTGAGGCACTTGTGGACTTAGGGCTTATAGGAACAGATTTCTTTTCAGAAGGAGTGGATGATTCTCCGACTTTCTCCTTGCCCTTTCTGGAAGAATGCTCTTTTGGGGTAAAGCTGGTTGGAACTGGGTCAGATTTAGTGCAAAAAAGAGAATAATTTTCCACAAGATGTGCTTCAGATTGAAAACCATTGTCTTTCAGACATTCATGAAGGATCGACGCAGAAGCATTATTCCTTTTCAACTTTTGATAAACTTTCCACACAAGTTTGATGCTTCGGAAGCGAAAATCAGTTTTACCAGACGATTTCGGTGGCGACGATCGCTGAGGTGGTGTCGCTTCATAAGGGTCTTTATGATGGTCAGATTCTGAGTCTGAAACCTCCATATACTCCGCCGGTGCTGTAGACTTAGAGTCTTGGTCAAGAATACGTGAAGATCTACGACGGGCCACCATCTTGAACGGCATTTTGATCACTTTTGGAGTGAAAAGATTAGATTTTTTGAGTGAAAAGAGAAGAAGGCGATTCTGAGTATCGAGAGGTTTTGGAGAGAAAAAGTTCGTACGATAGGGTTTTGAAAAAAAAAAAGGACGGGTTTATAAAGGAGGAGGATAGGTTTTGGAAGGAAAACTTATTTTTAGAAAATATAAAAAGAGATTCCAAAAATGTAGGAAGGAAATATACTTGATGAAGCACAAACGCTCATGATAATATATTAAGCACAATTAATCAGATAAATTAGAATACGTACCTGATTTGCTTCCTAAAGTAACGATTATGAAAATATCCTGCCAAAAATGCCAAAAATATACCCGCCAAAATTTGAATAAAGGACGTACCTTTCTTTGTGAGTCTGAAAAATGTTCAGACTGAGAATATTTGAGTCTGAAAAATTCCTGTCTATCAAACACTTCAAGAAAATGGATAAGTGATGCACAGTTTGTTTCTTATGAACTCAAATGAAGATTTTTCAAGAGGTTTTGTGAATATATCAGCTAATTGATTCCTAGAATCAATGAATTGAATATTCACATCACCATTTCGAACATGATCTCGAATAAAATGATGCTTGATTTCAATATGCTTAGCACGTGAATGAAGAATAGGGTTTTTGGTCAAATTGATAGCACTTGTGTTGTCACATTTGATTGCAACACTTGAATCTTCAATAGCATAGTCTCGCAACTGTTGCTTCATCCACAGAATATGTGCACAGCAACTTCCCAAGGCTACATATTATGCTTTTGCTGTAGAAAGTGCAACTGTGTTTTGCTTCTTTGAGTACCAGGATACCAACATGTTTCCAAGTAGTTGACATGTTCCTGTAGTACTTTTCCTGTCCACTTTACATCCAGCTAGATCAGCATCAGAATAACCAGTAAGAGTAAAATCTAAATCTTTGGAATACCAAAGACCTAATATTGGATAAGTTCCAATGTCTTTGATTATCCTCTTTACCGCAGAAAAATGTGATTCCTTTGGGTCTGATTGAAATCTTGCACACATGCAGACACTAAATAGAATGTCAGGTCTAGATGCAGTAAGATATAGTAAAGATCCTATCATGCTTCTATATAC